CTGTTTGGAGGTATCACTAACACAGATATATATCACTTGAAGTACAACTGACTCACGTTTTATTATACCGTGTGAAAATCAGGAGAAAACTGAAAGTCAGGATAAGGATATTTCGCTCATTCCGAAATTAATAGAGAGAGAGTGAGAAAGAAGTTCAGTTATATGTTAATGACACAAATGATAATCAAACATGCCATACTTGATTTCATTGTTGAACTAAATAGAACACCTAAAATGTGATAGCTGGCAAAGGAGCATCTATTAGGATTCTTCACAATCTTTGCATGATTACCACTCAAGAATACAAGCAAAACATCGAATCTGGTCGAATCTAATGAAACAAGAAAAGGTGAAAATAAGACGTAAATTTATCTTAGTGCAAGAATCGTCCAAAAAATCAAATGAATAATGAGTGTTTTGTCAGTCTAAATAACAGAAACTGATGTGACGTGACTAAAAAATTTACATTTTTTAAGAATAAATTATTGAATCTCATTTGTGGTCTTTGATTCTCCACCTTCTTCAAAGATGATTTTCTCAATTCGTACTTTGTCCTAAGGTGTTAGCCATGTTCTTTGTTTAATCAAAAAAAACTAGAAGACACTCAAACTGAACATCGGAGTAAAATAAAATCAAAGCCTTAAGAAGAGGGACAAATGTCAGTTCATTGTAACATCTGTCTGAACAACTTGGTATTCTTGTGTATGAGAATTACAATAAACACTAAGTGCTGAAAAACACTAAAGATAATAATAATAATTTATTCTGAACAAAACTCCTATACAGAATACGACATTTTCAGAGTATTTTACTTACTACTTATACAGAATTTACAAGTAGACTCACGTTCTGTTGTATGTCGTTTGAAACATTTGTTGCTTTATTGATGTCATCAACAGCATCAAGGGATCTTGTGCATTGGGAACAATGGCCTCGAGGATCATAACAGAAATATTCCATTCGAAACTAAAGAAAGGACTTCTCAATCTCAAGAAATCAAAAATTCAGCCAATTGGATGCAAAACCAATAAACGTAGCACAACTAGACTCAGATCACTGTGAAGCGTAAGGAATCTTCAATATTTAGTCTGAATCACTGAAAGAAGCTGTAGATAGAAAATAACTGGAATTTAGGCATTATGGACTCAGCCAAAATTGACGACAGACATGAGAGTAAAATAGAGATTTGCTACTGAGGCAAGATGTTCTACTCCGAACGTATGGTGACAACAGAAACTTCGTTCTGGACAAAATGTCTACACACTGTGCAGGATTCCAAGAGTAGCTCATCGCATAATATTTTATCGCCCTCCAGGATCTTCAAGTAAACTAGCAATCTAAAATATATTATGTAAAACGCAATTGTTATATCTGAAGCATAATTAATCTCTTACACTAGTCGTGTTTTGCAAATGTTTCAAACGACATACAACAGAACGTGAGTCTACTTGTAAATTCTGTATAAGTAGTAAGTAAAATACTCTGAAAATGTCGTATTCTGTATAGGAGTTTTGTTCAGAATAAATTAGTATTATTATCTTTAGTGTTTTTCAGCACTTAGTGTTTATTGTAATTCTCATACACAAGAATACCAAGTTGTTCAAACAGATGTTACAATGAACTGACATTTGTCCCTCTTCTTAAGGCTTTGATTTTATTTCACTCTGATGTTCAGTTTGTGTGTCTTCAAGTTTTTCGATTGAACAAGGAACATGACTAACGCTCTAGGACAAAGTACGAGTTGAGAAAATCATCTTTGAAGAAGGTGGAGAATCAAAGACCACAAATGAGATTCATTAATTTATTTTTTAAAAATGTGACTTTTTTATTCACATCAGTTTCTGTTATTTAGACTGACGAAACTCTCATTATTCATTTGATGTTTTGGACGATTCAATTGGCTTCATTCAATTTGTTTCATTGGCTGTTTTGCTTATATCAAAGTTCGTGTTTTAATTCATCGTATAAATTTGCCTTAATTGATTTTCAAATATAATGATATTTTTAAATAGAAACGCACCTTTATTCCACAATTTCTGCGATTAATTCACTTTTGACAATGACAACTTCATCAAACGATTGTAAGTTTTCCATTTTCCATTTGATTTTCATTATACACTTGAAAATATATTCTGGCAAGTTTTATTTCCAACCGTAATACTTGTAATGCTTACATAAGACTATTCATTGTGGTGACGAACTTTTAATAACCTCATTTTATGTTTCATGTGAAGGTGATGTAGTTGATGAACAACAGGAACAACTTAGTACTGTTCAAGAGCGATTGGATCTTCCACAGATCAATGATATAATGCCCTTTCTTTTATAAACGTTTGTAAGGGTTAATTTGATACATGAATGAATCACCGATTTGTTGCTTACTTATTTGAAGACATTTCTTACTGCATAAGCCACATTAGGAAGGCATGATTCGAAATTCCCTGACTGATTGCCAAATGAGTTGTATTTAAAAAATTCCATTCAGAGTCGGACACCTACTTACTCATTGAAATACGAGGGGAATGAAGTTACTCACTGACAGTATTAAATGGTGGAGATTGGAAATTATCTTTGAGTGAAACTAACACAATGAATGAGTCGTAACAACATGTATAGGGAAATTATCGAAGTGAAAATATTGAAGTTGTCATGAGAGAGAATATTAGGCTGCCCTAAATCATAATGTTACGTCTATATTTATCCTCTGAGTTGTTTAAAGTATTTTAACTTTTGTCGACTTATGGAACGAATAAATCTGAAATATCTGTCTGGAATGTTCAGCTTCGAAGACTTCAGATAACAGTGCTTTCAAATATTTCAACATATTATACATATCTCAAGATTCGCCATTTTAACTGACGAACTGGATTTTATTTGCACTTAGTTTGCACCCTAATCAACGACATCCTGAATGAGGGACAAATTTTGATCCGACAAATGTAGTGTTTATTTAGAAAATGGTGAAATTATTTGTACAAATCTACTGCAAATAACTCATTTCTGACCAAGACCTTGAACTAAGAATGATAGTTACACTTGAGGAAATAATGATGAGAGCGCAACTATGCTGACTACCACAGTATTCAAATTCCAGGAAAAAATATACAAACAATCTGAGGTAGATGCCATGGAGTCACCAATATCCCCGATTGTGGCGGATATATTCATGGATGGGTGGGAAAACATAGCGATTGAAACGTTCAGCCTCACCCCAAAAGTATGGTGAAGGTATCTAGATGACACATTCACTGGACTTAGAACACAGGATATAGATAGATTTTTCGAACACATTAACTCATAGGTGGAGGCAATCCATCAATTCACTTATGAATTCCAAAGTCAGGAAGTTAGATTGGAGTGTAAGAAGGAAAGAAGATAGGAAGTTAAACACTAGTGTTTACAGGAAACCCACACATTCAAACAGATATATTCGGATTTCAGATCATCCCATCCTATGCCAGTAAACATAGGGTTGGTGAGATGTTCAAGTAATAGAGCACAAAACTAAGTAGTACCAAGGAAAATCTAAGAGGGGAAGTGGGACATATAAGAGATGCCTTGAAACTTAATAATTACTCTGATAAATTAGTCAGATAGTATGTAGGGAAATGTAAAAATAAATTAAATAGTGATAGTAGTGATAGTGATAAAAATAATAGTGCTGATGACGACATGCATGTCAAACATCAATGAAATGATGACAACACTAAAAATAAAGAATCTAAATCATCAGTAGTAATTCCATACAAGGAAGGAACCTCGGAAGCTATACGCACAATTCTTAACAAGGCAGGAATAAAAGTGGCATTCGAACCGAAAAACTCAATTAGAGACAAGCTTTGTCGGTTAAAGGATCCTGTGAAGCCAAAAAGCTTAACAATTTATTTTATATAATAGCCAGCAATAATTGTCAGGCCAAAGTCATGGGGCAAAGTGGTAGAGCGCGGTCAGTCAGACTAGCGGAGTATAAAACCTAGCAAAATATCTGAATTAGTTGACCGTAATAAGAAAAGAAATCTAGAGAAAGGTTCAGCTATACCAATCACTACATGCAATTACACACAACCATACAATAGGATGGGATGGGATAAGATGACAGTTTTAAAATCGAATGTCTCAAAGCTGAGGGAGAGTTTAATAACAGAAGCTTTGTTTACCGAATCATCTGCAAATACGTGTAATAGGAATGATTCAACACCTGCCCTAGATATCTGGAGAATTCTATTACCCTAACGACGAAAAATAGAAGAGGACAACGAAAACTATAAAACTCAAGTTTCGAAGTCGTGTGATTATAACTGATATGATTATGAACAATCATGAATTGTGTTCGAAATATTGTCATCCAGTAAATAGTACTGTGATATACATAATAAACAATCTAATATGAGACTGTGAGTGGAACATTTTCAGTATGTTCGGCATAATACTCGGTAATATGGAATGTCAGATGATGCTACAGAACTGTTCTGCAGCTATTCGAGATATCTACATTATATTTCTCACCTGTAACACCAATGACATCTGAATATCCATAGAACTCAATGTTTAGTGTGTATCAATCCAGGCCATTCTCCTCTCCGGTTTTTCAGACGTGGTAGTTCAAGCGAAGATATTAAATAGCTAAGCATGCTTCGGCATAAGTGGTAAAGTCGACATGAAAAATGATATAAACGGATTCTCCATATCCAACCATTTGGTTAGAGCTGTATTATTCCTGAGTCACGAATTCTCGAGTAGTCCATTGTTAGGAGGCATAGTTAATAATGGGGAATCACTCTCCTTAAATGAGGTTACCATCAAAATTTCTTCTTCTTTTCTCGTGTTTTCAATTTATTATGAATCATTTGAAAATGTTATCAGTCAAAAATGAAAACCAAACAATCCTCGCATCTACTCCAACGAATGAACTGTCTTTAGCTCAAGATTCAATGAATTCACCACACAGTAACACAGAAGTATGTTCCACATCAGTATTACTCATAACCAAATTATTCAAGTCTGTTTCCAATCAGTTTTCTGTAGGACGAAGGAGCAGAGATTTCCTTTGGAAGGTATTTGTTTCGCTTTCCAGAGGGTGTTAATTTCATTCATCTCATTTCTCAAAGACTTTCATCATAGTAGCAATACAGATTACAATCGTGTGGGAAATCTGCGCTCTCGTGTTACTTGTGTAAGTTGTGTGTTGCTGACTAATTTTGAAAATTAAACGTTTTCAAGTTCGCTAATTCAAAAATTGATGTCAAATTATGCTTGGTTCACATGGGTGTGTGGGTACGTTAATATTTACTTTTTATCCACTTCTAATACATATCACCCCATCTATTACATATTTCTCATTATCAGGTATACCATAGACAGTAAGGCAAAGAGAAAGACAGTGAATAAGCCATTAAGACTCAAAATAGTGAGTTGGAATTTGGTTTCTGTTTGAGCGAGCTATAATTAGAACATTAAAACCATCATTCCAAGACGTAGACATAAAATCGATATTGATAGTTAGAAAAGGTTAGGAACACTGAAGAACACCAGTACTTATCGATCGCATGAGCGACTCTATATTCCATTTCAAACAATATTGTCCTACAAAACAGAAATCTAAACTTTGATAACTGCATTATTATTATTGTTTCCTTTAATTCCTAGAGGAACATAGGGCTTCGGCCGTGCGTCTCCAGTGCGTTCGGTTCTCTGCTAGAGTCTTCACCTGGCTGGCTCCAAGTCTGTCCACACGTTTTCATCTTCTCTTCACATGACCTCCTCCAAGTCATCTTTGGACGACCAACTCGCCGCTTCCCAATCGGGTTCCACTCGAGAAATGGCTTGTCTAGTGATGCCACTTGCTGGTTTCCTCAGAGTGTGGCCAATCCATCTCCATTTCTTCCTGCCTATTCCCTTCACAATCGATTCCTGCTGTGTCGGTTCGCTCCCAGAGATCCCTGTTGCTGATCTTTTCTGGCCATCTGATCTTGAGTAGTGAGCGAAGACATCTGTTAATGAAGGTCAGTAGTTTGTTCGAGGTGCTCTTCATGACGCGCCAAGTCTCTGATCCGTATAGTAGCACTGACTTCACATCGAAGTTGAAAATCCACATGTTAGTTTTGATGCTGAGTGCTGTTGATCTCCACGCAAACTTGAGAGTAGTGAAAGCTTGTATTGCTTTTCCGATTCTTGCTTCGATATCCTCGTCAGGTCCGCCTGTAGTTGATACGATGCTTCCCAGGTCGGTAGGTATGCTGATCGTTGTCTGTTGTTGCTGTTCTTGTCCAGGAATCTTCATTACCTCTGTTTTCTCGATGTTCACCTGGAAGCCTATCTTTGATGCTTCTTCTGCCAACTTGTTGCTTCTCGCTTGCATATCTTCCACTTTGTGGGAAATCAGACATATATCATCGGTGAAGTCCACATCCTCTAATTTTTTTGTGAGTCCATTTTATGCCTGTTTCCTCATTACCCACTGTTTGTCGCATTATCCAATCTACTACAATCAGGAAAATCATTGGCGATAGTAGGTAGCCTTGTCTTACTCCTGTCCTCACTTGGATAACTGACAACTGAATATGATATATTATTATTTGAGATATGGTCTTACCCGTGCAAACGACAACTTATTCATGTGAATTCTACGAATTTGTCAGAATAAATAGTTATTATTATTATCATAATTATCAATATTACACGGCTACCCACCATTCAAAAGAACACAATCAAGTGTAGTTTAAGTATTCTGGTAGCAATTGTCATATTAAGTCGATACAGTCATAGGCGGTATCAATCCTCCCCTATCCACATCCTGTACAACTTGATCTGCAGAATCCAAATCTTTATAACTTTCATCAATTTTGTTTGTAACAATACAGAATTCTGGGAACAGTTCTACAACTGGAGATGCTGCTAATACCGCAGTTACAGTCCGCCTACCCCTACAATTATGTCTACTTGATAATTGCTGTAAGTGGAGTGCATTTTGTCATTCATAATTTTAAGTCAACTGGTTTTATGAAAGTGGTATATTTACATTAATACTCATATAAGGACATGTTTCGCTTATTGCCTTGCTTATAACTCCACGTACAAATTACGCAGTTTCTTTTAGTGATAAGATTGAATAGAAGAGAAATGAAGTTGAAACAGTTAAGGAACAAGTTCCACACTAAAAGAAAGTAAGAAGGAAGTCATGTTATCTCGAAGAAGCCAATTCAGCGGCAAAAAGCGGCATGACGCCAGATTGTATCTAATACTCAAACCTGAAAGTAATAACGATGAACCAGATTTAATATTTCCAACTTACTGGAACAACGAATTATAAGAATGTGAAATAGACTACAGTGGCACTTGAAACACTCTTTCCAAAGTAGGAATATATCATGGAACTGCAAGAGTGGAGGTTATGTATGTGATTTGGTTGCAACAAGAAGAAAAGTGCATTACATAGTTAAACATATCGTCGAAAGTAGAAATGAACCCATTGGCTGGACATGATTTCCTAAATCTTTGAACAACAGATGTCTGTTCAGTCCTTTGTAGTAGTATCATGGCTAAATCAGTGTCACTGTGATTAGAGTATACCTGAAGTTGAATCCAATCGATCAAGTTCGGCCGTGCAGATTGAATTAATGACAGATATTTCGAGGTACATACGACTTCACGTGATTTCTTCGAAACCTGAAGATAAGGGTTGATCTCTTTCTACCGGCTTACATTTACTAACAGAGTTATTTGCGATAAACAGGATGAATTCTTTCTGGGAAATAGAGATAAACCCATGGGCTGGAAAAATCTTCCCAATTCATTTCATAAGTGAAATGTCTTAACTTTGTGGTAATGTGAGATTGAAATCAGTGTCGTGTTATTTAGTTTCTGTAGTGGGTCTACTATTTTAGCTGCTAACGGCACGTGTCATACAATGATTGAGTGTATGTATGTTTGCCTTACTATGATTCGTCTATAATCTGAAGACCAAAGTTTACCACTTCCTTCCAAATGTCTTCAACTCATTCATTTCCGGAAATAATTTTCGAAAACTGCTGTATTTTATCTCTTCATTATTGTTCGCTTCTCCTCTTTCCCACTCTAGACAATAATCATCGCCATTCCTGCAGCTGTTCCACTCATCCACTTACCATTCTGGTGGACATTTGTCACATGGATAATTACTGTGATTATTGCAGGTGCTGTAGTAGCTGTTAGTGTCGTCGCAAGATTCGATGTACTCAAAAGTTTAAAGGAGTTCATACTTGTCACTTTCATTGTGGAATTATCCTTTGTTACAATATTCTTCCCTTTCATACACTTCCAGCTATTTGACGTAAGTAATCAGATGAACCTTAAGTTGGTCTTAATTAAAAATTACCTGCCAGTATTGATATTTGGTAAAAGGATATAGTATAGCTGACTAACTGTTAGTTATCCAGGAAAAGGTGGGAGAATGGTCTCTTGTGGCTGGCAACCACACCGCATATAAACACTCGACATCACTACTGAAACTTCACAGCATAGAAGAAAAATCTCTACCGCACTGGAATTCTGAAGCCGGAAAGTTGCTGTCAATGTAAGCTCTTTGACGTCAGTCAGCCTACATAGATCTTTCTTCGATGAACGCAAAATGGAGGACGTGGAGTAATCACACTATAATTCAGTGTGATAGGACTGAGCAGATATCAGTGTGAGCAAGGAGACGTATAGAAATTTTAAAAATCTGTAAGACAGATGAAATGGAAGTGGGCTCTACAATGACAACTGGAGAGGCTATAATCTGCTTCGATCATCTATATTTCCACCAAAAGAACACTTAGTCTATGGCTATGATAATGCCATGAGCAGTATCGATTACTTTTCTGCAGGAGAATTCAGTCGTTTTCAGGGTAATGACAGCAAGATTCAATTTGCGAGACAGAAAATTCACAAAGAGACTAAATTGCCAGTTAGTTGATATAGAAGCCCCGATTTGCACTTGTGCTGACATCTGGGATCTGCGATCCTAACTGACTTAGACATCATCATCCGTTACCCCACATGTAGTATAAACGATTTTGACTTGGTCTGGTAAGTGGAATGACAACTATGTTTGCATTCATCCCATTGGTGGTGATAGATGTTCGTCGCATTTTTGGCCGGTTATCTTCATCGCTTCGTTTAGTTAACTAGCTCGTTCTAAACCTGGTTAAGCATGAGTACAGCAAAATCACACTCTCAGTCACTGGACTGATTTGAAAACACAAAGAAATACATTAAAACTTACGTGGAATAGCATGATTCCTTTGGTCTCGCAGAGAGCATCGTCAAGTCCAGTGTTTAGATTGAGAAATGTGGATAACACTGTAATTGAAATTGACGCATCTGCATATTCGACATATCCTATCTATGATTATTACAATTTATATATAGCATCATTACACTCATGTGAGTAAATAATTAACAGACGTGAAGGATACGCTAAAACAGTTTACACAGCTAAACTCACAATAATATTTCTACGTAGTTTGAGTTAAATGACTGGTTCTGTTCCTCATTCTCTTGGCAGATGCTCATAATACTGTGTGGATTCGCCATGATGTGGACAGTTATTTCGGTAAGTTTTTCAATCGACCATTTGAGGAAGAGAATGATATTTATGCGATGGAAAACGATTGGTTATGTTTTAAGGGCTGGAAAATACATTGCCTGAAGCAGAAAACTGAAGTAGTTGATGCCCTTCTAGATAACAGTACCAATCACATTCGTAGCTCGAGTATATTCCGATTGAGATCAGTGTTCTCATGCTACTCCTCTCAACGTTGAATGCTACTGTTAAGATTAGTGAGCATGAATGCATTTCACTGTAATTTGTCCCACTGAATGTGAGTTCTCATGCTGAAACTTGAAGCTGGTACAGACTGTTTCTGAATATACAGATTCATCCATCAAGCTAACTTAGGTCAATTTATTGTCAACAGTTACAAGTATTTCATGCCATCATTTCCTGTATGATGTAAACAAACAAATTTATATTCTACGGATATCGAAATTCACGTTTGAATTTTCAGGCATTATCAATAGTTACTCGACTCAAGATGATCATCAAGTTGAGACGAATTATATCGTTTTCTATGCGACCAGTGGCAAAATTCAGCAACTGTCAATGAGAACGTGAAGAAATGCCATTTCAGTGACACGAATATCTATGATTCATTG